CTAAGCGGCTTGGATGGACCTTAAAGACATTTAGGTGAAGTCCTGTGACTTTTTTCATGCATTCGTTTGTTTCACAAATATTACTGTGCACCAGTAGTGATAAGCAATAGTCAAAAAGAAGCCTGTACATTTGTGGCACTTATGTTCTGATACAAATCTTATAACATTTTTAGGTGGAATCCATGATTTTGGCAATTTCCCAAATTTAGGAATACTTTTCCCGGAAGACAGAACCACGGACCACTCAGGTTTTATTTTACCTCCAATTCGCTCTGCCCCAGAGGGGCCACCTAAGCACCTGGGAGTTTCCCAGTCTCTCCAGCAGCTTTTATTCTGAGCACTTAGAAAATCGAGGCCCTGAACACATTGCATTTTTTAATTTCACAAAGTATATAGAGTATTATGTACTTCATCGCGTTCTAAGGCCTTTATAAATATTGACATTTAATTTTCCTTACAGGTCTGTGTAGTAGGTAGTACTACCCTCCCTGTTTCATAGATGAGGCAGCGGAGTGGCCTGTCCCGGGGACCCCGCTGGCAAGAAGCGGGACCGGGATTGGTGATCAGGCTTTTAGCCCCTGCCCCGGATTTTTGATATAAGTCGTAAAAAGTTATTTTTTTAAATTATAAAACATCTTTCCCCCCTTTGCATTTGGGTTTCCTTTGGACGTTTAGGGTTATTTGCAGCCAGTTTTAGTGAAAGTAAAGGAAGTCCTGGCCCCATTCTGTGCGGGCCTGCTGGTCCTTCATGATTCTTTCCACATTGAGTTATCTGTTCAACCTAATTTGTGTAAATGGAATGTGTTTAATTTCACTCCATTGAATGATGTGCTTCAGACCTGCCAGACTTTCTGTAATTTCCCCTGACAGACAGCACAGAGCTGGCAAATGGGCACATTTGACAAACAGGGTGAAGTGTATGGTGTATTGAAAATGCTCAAAACCAGTTCACTTGAAATTGGGGGTTTTGTTTCCCTCCTTTGTGAGACGGCATAATAGTTCGATTTAACTATTTATAAATGTTTAATTGTATTTTAAACAATAGAGTAAATGGACAATAGGCCCTAACTTATCGGAATAATAAAACTGGGGGCAATACTATTTAAAACCTTGCGTATTCATTTATGTGTCCCTTGAGGGGAAAGTCTTTAGGCTACTCTGAATTCTGTTTTTAGGTCGGTAGCAATAAGATGTTTCTGCTTGGTAATTTTCCTGTGTCTTGGGGGTCTTTTGTTGAGGTTAGTTTATTTATATTCCCCAGGATCTTTAAGGAGTTTCTGGCCCCCTTTTTGGGGAAATGTACTGTATTCTTCGGTTCTCAGTCTGTGATCATTTGCACCCCTTGTTCTATCTGGAATCCTCATCACACCTCCCATCTCAACCTTCTTCTCTGTGTCTAAAATAGTTTCTTAATGCTCTAAAGATACTTCTGGAATCCTGTTTCTTCAGGGAAACTTTCCATAGTTAGTTGGAAGAGAAATCGGGTCTCTGCCCTGGCTGGTGTGGCTCAGTTGGACTGAGTACTGGTCTGTGAACCAAAGGGTCGCTGGACTGATTCCCAGTCAGGGCACATGCCTGGGTTGTGGGCCTGGTCCCTGGGTAGGGGACACGTGAGAAGCAACCACACATTGATGTTTCTCTCTGCCTCTTTCTCCCTTCCTTCCCCTCTGTCTAAAATAAATAAATAAATAAAATCTTAAAAAAGGAGAACTCTGGCCTCATCTTTATTTCTACTTGTTTTGTTATTCAAGGATGAAGTTTAATGAACGTCCATTGTACATGGTTTTTCCCTTTAATTTTAATGGACGAATTTATTCTGCGTCTGAAAACCAGCACAGATCTCTCAGTTTTATGCTTATCTTTTGAACAGTGAACTTGTTTGGCATGACAAACATGAATTCTAATTCAGTGGGTCGTTGGGCCTTGTTTATTTCATTAGGAAAGCATTTATCATGTGTGGATGAGTATGAAGTAAAATGCCATTGGGTTCCTGTTGGTTTCCCAGGGCTGCTATAACAGAGCCCACAGACTGGGTGGGTGAAAGAACAGATTTATTTTCTTGCAGTTCCGGAGGCCGTAAGTCCGAGATCACGGTGTTGGCAGGGTTGGTTTCTTCTGAGGCCTCTCTCCTTGGCTTGCAGATGGTCGTCTTCTCCCTGTGTCTTCACCTGGTCTTCAGGCTGCGTGTGTCTCCTCTTCTTATGTGGATATCAGTCATATTGGATTCGGGTCTGTCCATGTGACTTTTCTTTCACTTAATCTCTTTAAAGATGCTACCTTCAGATAGTCATGTTCTGAGCTATGGGGGGGTTAGGTCTTCAACTTAGGGATCTTGGGGAGACGACGCAATTCAGCCATAACAATGAGCAAGGAAGAGAGCATCCTGAAGGAGAGGAGAGTGTAGGACGTCGGTCCTGACCTGGTTTAAAACCAGCTAAGTGATTTAGGGTAGAATTCACACTAATTAGCCTTTTGTCCATACCTTTCCAATTTTTTGGATTCAGTGAAATCTGAAGTACCTTCTAAGCACCTCTAAGATGCTATGTTTCTTGCTTCTTAATTAGGAAGACAGTCGGAGAGGTGATTTTATGCTGATTTGCTGGGTAGCATGTGAAAGATCAGAGCTTGTGTCAAATAGACTGATTTGATTTCCATCTCTTTTCTTCTGTGTGAAGCTGAAGGAAATGGCTTTAAAGACCCTTCTCTTGGCACCTGACAAGCTCTGTGACTGTGGAGAGGTTATGCAGCCTCCACAAGCTCTAACTTAGCCACCTAGGTGGTGGGCATAGTGTCGTTAGGGGCTCTCCTTAGCTTTAGTCCTTTGTCACTGCGGCCTGCAGCAGATAGATTCTGCCCCTTTGCAGATGCCCTGGGTAGCCCCAGGTGCTGAGACCCAGCCCCTGCAGCCCAGGTGGGGCATTGCTGCAAATACCCGCTGGCTTGTGGGGCCTCCGCTGCCTGCTTGACTCGCATGTCACAGAGACCACTTGTGGCTCCATGCGGTCAAGGTGGAGCAAGTGTTATCTCAGAGTTCCCCCACCTTGCTTGCTGTGTGATGGGGCCCTTCTGCTACACAGACGTCATTTCAGGGAAGTCAGATTGGTTCCAACTCATCTGGTTATCCTAAAACAATTGGTTCTTACTTCTTCTTTCCATATTTAATAGCACCAAATGGTTATCAAGAAATTGTTCCTCTTTCTGAATCTTATCAGGAGGCAAATGGGGAAAGTTTGTGGGGCAGAGATGTCATTTAACCTAGAACATTAGATTTTATTTTTTCCAATATATTTTATTAATTATGCCATTACAGTTGTTCTATTTCCCCCTTCATTCCCCTCCATCCTGCACACCCCTCCCCCACCATTCCCCCCTTTAGTTTATGACCACGTGTCTCAAGTTCTTTAGATTCTATATTTTCCATACTATTCTTGCCCTCCCCCCTATCTATTTTCTACCTATCATCTATGCTTATTTTCTGTACCTTCTCCCCCCTTCTCCTTCTCCCACTCCCCTGTTGCTAACCCTCCATGTGATCTTCATTTCTATGGTTTTGCTCTTGATCTAGCTGTCCTCTTAGTTTGCTTTTGTTTTAGGTGTGGTTGTTAATAACTGTGAGTTTGCTGTTCTTTCACTGTTCATCTTTTTAATCTTCTTTTTCTTAGGTAAGTCCCTTTAACATTTCATATAATAGGGGCTTGGTGATGATGAACTCCTTGAATTTGATCTTATCTGAGAAGCACTTTATCTGTCCTTCCATTCTAAATGATAGCTTTGCTGGATAGGCCATCTAGAACATTAGGTTTCAAGATCCCTGAACTTTGGTATTGCTAGAAATAAGTGCTAGACTTTTGTCTACTTTTCCTAGACCAGAGAGTACGCACAGAGCAGAGCATTTGTGGGGGATAAATGAAGTGTGTGTGTGTGTGTGTGTGTGTGTGTGTGTGTGTGTGTGTGTGTTTGAGGGCGGGTGGGGCCAGCAGTGTGCCTCTCACATACATTGTTGTAGTTTAATTGAGTTTTTATGCTTTGCATTGGGATTGACATTATAAAAATCTGGTCATTTAAAACACTAGATGGCCTTTGTCATTCGACTTCAGTAGTTCAATCAACTCAGGCAAAATTTTATTTCATTAAAACTGTTGAAACAAGTTGACCAGCGAGTTCTCTGTCTAGGAATAGAGATTCCCAAGTTCGATTTGACTAACCTGTTTGAATCATTATATGATACCATTTGAATACAAACCTGTTGGCTGTAGCATTTGGCCTGGAAAACTCCCGTAAGCAAACTCATTTAACATTGCCTTTTTCTGGTACCACTGATAGGACCTTTGCCTTTGGATTCTGTATTCATCAGAGCAAGAAGTTTTTCAGTAGCAAGGGACAGGCGTGTAGGATATTATTGGGACATTGTTTTCTCCCTCTCAGGGATTTATTTCCAGAGAACTGGTCAGAAAAATGACTGCCAGCATCCTCAAGGTTGTGCTCTTATGACTTCCATTTGGAAATGAAGGAAGAACCTCTGTCTTCCATATCCATATATCAAATATCAAGAAAGATTTTGATTGCTTCCGCTGAGTCACATGGTCATCCTGGAACCTAAAGCTGGTTGACTGATGAAATGCTGTGGCGAAGCACCCTGATTGGCAGGCCCGCTGGAATCACGTGGGCTGGGAGAGGAGAGAAGTCCCACAGGAAGAGCCGCTTAGCAAACAGTCCGCCGGGTCCATACAGATAACTGGGCACTCCACGTCATCAGGGATTTAGCGTTTATTCTTTTAGTGGAATGGGAATGGGAAAGTAATGACCCTGAAACTGAACTGGATCTACCTGGACATTTTAGGCTGTCCATTTCAAATCTGTCTGAGATGAGGATGCACTCGAAAGGTGTCCATCAGGTGGGAGATGCATTATACAGACAGTCGGGTAGTAGAGCCTACCTGGTGATTTCTAAGAGTCAAGGAGCAAAGTGACACTAATGGCCCCTTTTGCTTTCATGCCAGGGCTGGACGACTGCCTGCAGCAGTACGTCCACAAGTTTGAGCGGGAGAAGATAAACGGCGAGCAGCTGCTGCGGATCGCCCACCAGGACCTGGAGGAGCTGGGCATCACGCGCATTGGGCACCAGGAACTCGTGCTGGAGGCTGTCGACCTTCTCTGTGCCCTGGTTAGTTCAGCAAAAGGGGGTCTGTACCATGAGGATGTGCTTTAGAACGTTGTTCTCTTAAACCTTCCCTGTTTGCCATTGAGCGTATCATTGTTTCCTTCATGAGTCACTGATGTGAACTGAAGATAATGTGAGAAGCCAAAGAAAGCAGTCATTTCCCACATTCAGAGTTGGCAAATTGTGGCCTGTGAGTTAAATACGGTCCACTGTCTGTTTTCATAAATAAAGTTTTATTGGGACTCAGCCAGGCTCCTTCATTTATGGGTGGTCCCTGCCTGACAGTGGCAGAGTTATTTGTAATGGGGACTATGGGGCCCCCCAAAGCCTAAAATACTATTTTGCCCTTTACAGGAGAAGTGTGTCTATTACAGAAAAACTTCTCATTAGTCTTGTTTTTGAATCCTTTGTAAAGAATAAGAAGATGGAGATGGTCCTGAATGAAAACATCTCCCGCATTGCAGTGACAAACAGGCTCTGATTTCTGCGTCTGTTTTTGTTACTACAAAGAGCATTCTTATGCTTCACAGGTATTTGTGATGTTTCTATAACTGATGCCTGTGCTTGAAGTAATCAACCTGTGAAATGGTAGCTAAACGGGAAAAATGTGGACTTAGTTCCACGTTGCAGATGACTGAGCTTTGCCTTGACCGTGACTGAGTTAAATCCTGCCAGGTTCTGACTCTTGCATTGCACCCATGGCTCAAGGGAAGGCTAAAACACCCGTAAGGGCATTGTGTCCATAGACAGGTGGCATGGGGTGGGATCCATGTCTGTCCATCACGGTGCCACACTAAAGATGCAGTTTCCTGGACTGTCAGGATTTGGATAGACTGGGCAGCATTCGAGCTGGGTTAGTCATGCCATGAACCTGAGCCAGGGCCATATACAATTACATCACTGAGAATGGTGGGAAAGAATGTGCTCCCGATTATTTTGCTATTGCTGGTCTGCGTTCCATTGATTATATAACACTTGTGGCATTGTGCGTATTCTTTTGCTTAAAATGGACAGAGCCTTGTCTTCGGCTCTGAGATGCGCCGCTCTTGTTTAGGAAAGTAATGGGGAAATTATTTGTGGTTGATAAATGAGCTGCCCCAAGGGAGACGCCATGGCTGAGTGGTGTGAGTGGTGGCCTGGGAGGCAGGCTTTCTGATTCCTGATTGTGGGTCTGCTCCATGCTCCTCACTCTGTGACCTCCAGGGGAACGGTGGTGCCTGCCTTCCCGTCTATACCGTAACGTTCCCCGGGATGTGGCCACGTACCAGCGTGGGTTTTTGCACTGTGCAGAAGACATCTGAGAGTCCTGTTTATTATTAAAGCCGCATTTTAAAAATACAGTATAACATGTTTGAGTTCCCTTTTATCATGCTTCCTGGGGACAACGCATTTCACTCTTTCCTGTTCTTTTGAATCATTTCTTTAACTTTGCAGTGGGACTCTGAGGACAGGTAAATCACTTTGAAATCTGCAGCATGGGAGGGCAGGAGGGAGGCAGAGGGAGGCACCATTGCTTACAGCAAGGGTGATAATAAACATAACAGCTGCCTCTCTTTGCTTTTCCCCCTTCCCTACCTCTTAAGCTATTAGGCTGAAATGAACAAAGCTGGATGGACGCCAGGACCTAAAGCTGTGCTTTATCTCCTACAATTTCCTTCTCATTTCCTTTGTAGACAAAGTTCTGACCTCAGACTCACTGGGCACATGCTCGGTGTGCGGCCTGCCAGTGAGTATCTCCGACAGCAGGGTCGCTGGCGGGTTTGCAGATGAACACGCCAGTTCTGGGTCGGGGGGGAGTTTTAGAGTTTGACTAAAATGTCTTTTAGTCTTGAAATGATCTACTTCTTAAATATTCTTATGATAACGAATGCATTAATAACACCGTCTATTTAATCCACTCACACCACGCTGATCTGCATACCTATAAACCGGTAATGATTTTTTGCCTTGAAGGGTCCGTCTCTCGGGCAGTTCCTTAATGTTACTTGTAGTTGGCTGTGGTGCCATAAATGGGGTTTTCGTGTAAACACAATTTAGCGGATGTTGATGTTATGATGGGCAGGAAATGAATAGAATTGGAAGTAAGGAAGGGGAGCGGGTAGGAAAAAATAAAACCATTGGAAAGTTTTGGAAAGAAAAGAGCAGGTAGAAGGGGTAGGAACCTCAAATAGGAAATAGCTACTGGTCAAGATCCCAAAACCAGTAAGTAGAGACAGACCACAAATAGCTTAGTCCTGGGGAGAAAGCAAGGAGAGAAACCGCCTTTTGTGAACATTGACCTTGACTGGCTGGAGTGGTTTAGGAGAGTGTCATTGATTGTGACACAGAATCAGGACCACTTCCCAGAACTGAGTTCGGAGTGAGAGCCTGGTTTTTCCCTCCCTACCCCTGAAGCAGGCTCAGGCTGCTCTTTGTAGTAGGATAGTTGTTAGCCACATGTGACTACTTCAGTTAAAATTAATTAAAAGGAAATAAAATCTAGTTCCTCAGTCGTACTAGCTACATTTCAAGTGTTCAGTAGCTAGCCGTGGTTACTGGCTGCCACGTTGGGTCAGTGCAGATGAGAACATTTCCATCACTGCAGAGAGTTCTGTGGAGCGGCACTGGTCTAGAAGGGTGTGCTTGAAAGTAATAATGTGTAATCGTAACCCATTGTCTGTGCCAAATCCACCAGACCCTTGTTCCCTGAAGACCAAGGCAGGGACAGACGCGTTTTTTTCGAGGTTGCTGCAGGCTGAGAAAGTGAACGAGGTTGGAATTAGTACACGTGCTAAGTGATGCCACGTGTGTGGGATTGAATGCAATACCTGTAATGGATCTACCTGCCCAGGGTGCTGCTGCACACTCTGTGCCCCTAACTTCACTCGTTGCTCATCATTTACACCCACAGGGCAAATCATTAAAAATGTTGCCTTTTTTATGGGGAGAAATCATGCAGGTGGAGTAATCCTTGCTGGCAGTTGGTATTTAACTTGATCTTGTTTGTGAGCTTATTAAGTGCCTTTAGGAAAACCGTGAAGTGTATTTCCTAGGTTGTAACTTAATTGGCCCAGTTCAGAGAGATGTTTGATTGCTCGTCTCTGACGCTCCCTTATCATGAATGTTAGATCCTGAGTAGAGCCAGCAGAAACGAGAAAGGAAGGTAAGAAAGAAGTTGCCTGAGATTTCCCTTCGCTAATACGTTGATAATTTAAGGTCCCAGGAAAGTGAGAATCTTCCTGTTTTCTTTTCTCCTGTCTCTGGTGTCATTTCTCTGCTGGACCAGGAAATGACCTTGGATGGCCGACTTCTAATGAAGTGACATCTCTGTGGAAAGTTTTTAGTATGTATGTAGATTTTTGGAGGCTTATTTCATTTCTTACCTAGTTTCTATTTTGTTGATACTTTATCTCTAAGCAATTTCCCTTTTAAGGGAAAAAGATACTGAAAGTAATTGAATTTGGTCTGAGAAATTATTTATTTTCTGTCTTTGCCATGGGGCACTTAAGTCAATAGAGCCCTTTCCTGATTATGTTTCTACAGTACAGGTTCTTTTGAGCTAATATAATCAGTTTCTTGTTCTCTTGGATTCATGGAAGGGGGTGGTAGGAGAAGGAATCTCCCTTCTTTACTTTGCTCGTTTCTCCTTTCTTAAAATTTTTTTTTTTTTTAGTATAGCTATCTCTAGCCATCCCTCTAGTCCCGTGAAATAAAAAGAATCAGAGCAAGTGGAGTCAAAATGAAAAGAACCAGTTAATACAAAGCTATGCTTCCCCTTTATTTTAAGATCCAAGGTGGTAGGGTTGTAGGAGTTTGAGGTTTAAAGCTTCCTGCCACACTAACATGCATTTAATCCCCTTCGAGTTTAGGAAGTAAATGTTGTGTGTGGTAATGAAAGTTCCAAGTAATTTATGGTGATGTTGTGATATAGAAAACCCACTTCTCTGCTTTTAGTTAGAACTCTTGATATAAGTTGACAGGCTGAGTAATGGACTGAATGAGGGGACAGTTCCCTTCGATCATAGTCACCAGTCCTTTAGGACAAGCTGTGGTATCACGTGGCTCTTTATCCATTCACTTGTGAGTCTGGTTCTCTGAGTTGAAGAAGCCACGATGAGAATCCACCCTTTTATTTTTGTCTTCTCTATTGAAGGACACTATTATATCTTAGTCGCTAGAAAAGGACAGTGAGAAAAAAAGAATGAATGTAAAGTTTAGGTAGAACACTTCCGTTAATACAGAGCACTCATTTTTATTATGAACTTTACAGTTTATTTTCAAGGTTTGCAAAAAGAGTTTTCAGTTAATGGATCTGGAAGTGTTTTTTTTTATGTGTATATTTGTACTTAACCCTTTAAAAATTTTCTATCTCAATTTAACATAAATTTAAACATCCAATAAAATCTAGTGAAAGTTTTCACTAAGGTAAAGTCTTGTTGTTATTACCACACTTCTTGCCAAAAAAAAAAAAAGAGCTCCCCAATATGTCTCTGCTTTGTGTATCTCAATTTTGAGATATGACTCTCTCTCCCTGGGGCATTAGAGATTGGGCTACCAGAGAGGAGGGGTAAGGGACCATTTAGGTACAGGGGACAAAAGCTTTGCTCAGATCGAAAGAGGGCTTGCTGGCCTCTGAGAAGAGGGAGGTGTGGATGGCTCTTCTCGGGTAGAGAGTGTGGAAGGGGGCGGTGCACTCAGTATGGCGATCCAGAGCTCGTGCTTTCCATGCAGACTGCTGAATTAGAATCCCATCGTACCTCCCATGAGCTGTGTAACCGGAATTTACCTAATGTCTCTGTCCCTCAGTTTTTTCACCTGAAAATGAGATAATACGATTTCCACCTGCACAGGCTGTTTGCCTGAGAGAGTTCTTGTCCCGCACGCAGTCCGGCTCCAGGTGCACAGGCAGTGCTCAGACGCGTTGGCCATGGTGTTAGTTCCAATTTTTATTCACAGTTTTTAAATGGTGCCACATGCTTGCCTTGAGATCCTACTGATCCAGTATCTAACATACCCCAGAAAGATCTTCTCTTTTTGTTAAAATGATTAAACAGACGATAATACGGAAATTCATCTCTCACTTGCTGCCAGAGTCATCTCAGATTTATGTGTTGTTTTCTGGGATTTGCTCTTTATCTGAAAGAGTCTAGTCAACATTTCCAGATGAAATTGATTTTTTTAAAGCACCCAAAGAAGTTGGGCGTCATCCAGAAGGAACATGGGTGAGACGCTCCTGAGATGGAAGTTACATTTCAGGCAAACTGACGTTTAGTTAGTAGTGCTCTGTGTCAGCGTGAGGGTCTCATCCGATGGGAATTCATAGACTCAGTCACCATTTCATTGTCTGCTGGGCTGGAGACATAGCAGGGAGCAGCGCACACAGCGCCGTCACAGACCCTGTGTCCCAGGGAGGATGATAGCGGCAAACACGGTGGTCCAGAGAGATAACACATTAGGTGAGGTGCCGCAGAGGGACCCCAAGGAGGTATCTGGCAATGTCTGGAGACCTTCCAGGTTGTCACAGCTGGGGACGGGGTGCTACTGATATCTCGTGACTGCAGGCCAGCTCAGCATTGTGCAGTATATGGGAATCTCTCCCCTACAACCCAGACAAAGAACCATCGGACTGGCCATGTTGGGAGGGCCCAGGTTGACAAACTCTGCTGTTGATGGTCTGGGAAGCTTCCAAGAAGGGAAGGGGGCATCTGGGCTAATTTGGATTTTAAGTGATAAGGAGCTGTTTCTGCCAGGATTTGACAGAGGAGCATTTTGGAAAGAGGAACGAGCAAGACCAACGTCCCTGAGGCAAGTGTAGGCCGAGGGAGGACCCTCGTGGGTGAATTCAGCACTGTGGGTAAATAACAGAGGGTTTTGTGGCCATCATAGGAGTTATTCAAGTTACCCAATGGGCTTTTGAGTTACTATGTGAGTTTGGACTTTGTTAATTGTTTTGAATTTTTCTTGCTTGATTTTATTTTCTTTAGAATTATGGCCTTGAAACCGACAATATGAAGAACTTGGTTCTGAAATTGCGAGCGTCTTCCCACAACTTACAGAATTACATAAGTAGCCGGAGGAAAAGTCCCAGTTATGACGGGAACACTTCCCACAAGCCCCCCAATGAGTTCTTGACTTCCGTGGTGGAGCTCATAGGCGCTGCCAAGGCCTTGCTGTCATGGCTGGACCGGTGAGTTACGGGTGTGCTTTACTGTCCTGTGAAAGGAGGCCCGAGATGCACAGGGGCCTGTACTCCGTCTTAGGAAAATGAACCATTGTCCCTTTCTTGTCCCTTCCACAGGAGCTCGGTTCTGGATCAGTGGTAGTTTTTCAGGTCCCCTTTGGAAATTCCTAGAAAGTGACTAGCAGGAACAAATTAACCTCAGCTTAGAGAAGAGTGAAACTGTGCTCGAGTTGTGTTTTGCCGAGGTTAAACATGAGTGATTATTTGCTTGTATGAAGGCTGTTAGTTGACTTCTGAATGGATTTCTCTTGGCTCATTTTAATGTGTGTGTGTATGTTTTCTGAATCTAGCACTTCTGTATTTTCTATTCAGATTCTGGTTTTGTGTGTTACTTGAGAGGAAAGGGTTACATAACAAATAATTGAAGGTAGCTCGTTGAGATCCAAGCTCGTCGGCATATTCGGCATAGTGTGGGGTCCCAGTGGGTTCCCCTCCTACACTCCCACACTTTTCAAAAGGATTTTTGTTGTTTTCCAGGGCCCCATTAACAGGGATCACTGATTTCTCGGTCACGAAGAATAAAATCATTCAGCTTTGCTTGGACCTGACCACTACAGTCCAGAAGGTCAGTACGTCGCTGTCACCTCGTAACCCTTTTTCTCTCCCTGTTTCCTTTTCTTTCGTCTTCAAAGTGATTACTTGCAGGTATGAAGTACTGTTCTTTCTCTCTCTTCGCCTTTTCCTCCATTAGACCTGGGGAGGGATGAAAGACTTTAGAGACACTGTATAGATGGGTTCCGAAAAAATAACCAGTGGCCTTTACCTCAAAGACTACCTTCTCTTACCTTAAAATAGTTGGGCTAATTGTCCTTTACTTTCTCTGAAATGTAAGAGAACTTAATTTTTTAAAATAGAAATTCTGGAGTAACTAATTTTTACTATAATCTTTGTTTTTAGTTTTTTTTTCATTTTGACCTCTTGTGGTTGGGCATACCAGTCAGGATGAGCTAGGTTGTGATGCAGTAACAAATAACCTCCAACCTGAGCAGTTTATTTCTTGATTATCTACGTCCAAATGGGTCAGCTTGGGGAATCTGCTCCAGTTCTCCTCGCTTCCCAGCGTAGGCTGGCAGAACACCCGGTATCTCCTGTTCCTCATCCCCTGGCAGAGGGACGGGGAACCGTGGAGGATTTCCTACCGACAAATGTTCTGGTTTGGAAATGACATGTGTCAGTTTCCCTTACAGCTCCATGGCCAGACCTAGGACCAGGCAGATTTATTTCAGTCAATTAGTAACTGACTAGTTTTTGTGGCCTGAACTTTAAAAAAAAAAATTATTATTAGACCATCAGCTCTTAGGGTCACTTCTTATCATTTCCCTGGCACCTAGCAGACACTGTAAACTATTTTTGTATTGAGTTGAGGCTATAAAACGTAAGGAAGAGGTTGTTCTCTTTCCAGCTTCCACTCATTTCTAAAATTCTGCTTCCACATTTGTTCCCACTGCTGATTTGGCAAAATGTAAAGAACGTGCTTCCCTCAACCCTGCCCGTGCCGTACAACAGATGCAGTTCTGAAAAGCCCGTGCTTTCTGTTTGTTCCTAGAATGTGAGGAGAGAAGTTTGGCTTTGTTCGGGGCAGCTGTCTGAGGTTCGGTCTTCATAGGCCATTGACCTGCAGGCACATGCGACTTTATCACATGCTTTCGAGGCCATGTTCTTAGAAAGGATCTTGGAACAACTAAAGTGGCTCTGAGTTTCTGCTCTTTTTTATAATGTGGAAAGTAACTCTGACAAAAACAGCCTGATACCACTTGTGATAAATTAATCACAGAGCCTCCAAGTCCTGGCATTTGTGGTGGAAGACATTTCTCTGACACCCTAAGCTTTCTATTTCTTCTGTTTTCCTCTATATTTTGTCTCCTGTTTTGATGTTTTATAGAATGTTCTGGTGATCAAGTAAAATGACAGTGTAAGAGTTGAGAGTTAAACCTTGTAATTAGCAAATGGGAAAGTTTTGCTCATGGACATATCAACTGATGGTTGTTGACACAATTCACTGTCAACAAGAATCCCCAGTTTGGGGTACAGGGAGGAAGGAAACTTTATTCAGGGCAGAACAGCTGGGTTGTGATACCGCAGGGCTGTCAGGCAGCTCTAGGGCCAGGGCGCTCTCTGGCGAGACGGCCCTGCTCCTCCCCTTGTAGGTCTGCTCCACTCTGCTCCGGAAACATCTTTTGGTGTTCCAGTTCAGCCAGGGAAAGGCAGTCTTCAGGGATAGGTGGAAAGAGCAAGTACACTCTCCTGAGCCAAAGGGGAGCTGGTTTGTATAGACATAAGTTCCTGCCCCTGAGCCCCGGTGGGTCTGTCCTCAGGCAAATGAGGACTACAAATCATTGCAATTTGATTGGTTCAAAAGGCACGAACAGAATAGTGCCACTCTGGTAGGTCGGGACCTCACAGCTCCAGTTGGATAGAGGAAGCCTTTAGGAAGCCTTTGTCCTATTGGTGGAAAGAGGATTCCAGGAACTCGTTTAAAGGGCTGGCTCAATGGCAGAAACACAGTGCAGGCAGGCAGCTGAGTGCAGAGGCATGTAGTCCAGTGTGAGAGACCCTGTGTAGAAATGGCTGCTAGGCTTTGATCTTTTAAAATTTCAGCCCAATTAGCCACCGGAGCCCTTTTTAGCAGGTATCTTCTTTCTCAGGGTTCACAGGTGCCTCTGTGTTTTATTTAAAGGGCCCTAGACCATATGACTGATTCAGGCTGCCCTTGCTGTAGTGTAGGGAGAGGAGAAAGTGCTGAAGCCCAAGGCTGAGGTGGTGTTTGTTTTCAGAAGATGAATCTGCTTTGCCTTATCAGGTTGATATTGGCTTTGTGTAGATATTTGGACTAATCCTTCCATAAATATTTATTCAACACTTTCTGCGTGTCTACTACCCTTCCAGGCAGTGGGGATATCAGTGAATAAACAGATAAAAAAGTCCTTGACCTCATGGAACTTACAGTCTCTGGGGAAAAGAGAAAAGGAAAAGATAAGTAAGCAAAGTACATGTCGAGTTAGGCGAAATTGGAGAAGTTCTACGGGGGAGAGGTACAGGAAGTATTGGGAGTGGAATCCAGTTTGAGGTATGTGGCCAGAGGAACCCTTTCTGCCAAGGTGACACATGGGTAATCCAACCAGAGTGACTGATTGTGCTTGTCTGGACGGAATGGACTTACTGCGTGGTCTCAGGTGGTGTTTTCCTTGTAGCCATAGAGCGGATTACTGTGGATGGTGAAAGAAAGACTCCCCCCTGGATGCTGGGGTCTGGACCTGCTCAGGTCGGGAGAAGGGCACCCATGAGTCTCCTCCTCACACTTGCCCCTGCTCACTGGGGCCTCACCAGGCCTAGCATGGGATTAGTGGTGATTTTTAAATGTACATTTAAATGAATGAGAGAACACTTTTGGCCAATAAGCTGATGAGAATTTGTCTCTTAGAGGAACTTTAACCCAAATTTAAGGAATATAAGAGGTATCGTTTTTGTTTGTTTGTGGTTTATTTTTTCATTTTGTTTCCCGTTGGTGTTCACTGAGCATATACTTTAAGGACGGATAGTTTCAAATCCTGTCTCTACCTTAATTACCCCTGGGACCTTGGATAAAGCCCTGAAAATGTATGAGCCTCAATTTTTCATCTGTAAAATGAAAATGCCAATATTTATCTCACCAGATGATCGAGTAGAATTTCTACAAGGTATTGTCAAGAAAGAGAAAAGGGGAAAAGTATAATAAGAGGACAAATGGGGACCAAAAAAGTTTTTTTAGTGTATATATGTATGTATATGGAATATTTACATACATCCAAAACACTATATACAATGGAATATATTAGCATAGTAGGCAGTTTGGAAGAAAAATTGAGTTTATCTTAGTTGGGAAAGAATTGAAGAGGGAACATAGGAACCAGGCCAAAAAAAAAGAAAAAATATTTTTTTACAAAAAGCATATTTATCACACTTATATATTCATGTAAAATTAAAATTAGAGAAATAATATATAAACTGTCAAAAATGATACCTAAAGATCTTGAGGAAAATTAAATGATATATAACATGTGCAAAGCACCATGCCCACTTAAGAAATAGCCTATCCATAGGAATTATAAAAATCTTGCCTTGTACTAAGTTTCTGGAACCAAATTTGATGTTTTAAGGAGAGGAAGTTAACAACTATGTTTCTATTATATTCTGGTATTTTTTGGTTTATTTAAATTTTAACAATTTTTCAGGATTAAGCCTGGCAATATGTAGGGATCCAGTACAAATAATGCCCCTTTTTTATTACAAAATCTCTTATTACAAAATCATAAGCATGTCATTCTGTAACATAACAAGCATACTCAAACACACCATATGACATTTTAGGTGACATGTTTAAATTAAAGGTATAAAACTATAAATTATTACATCCATATTATTATCCTACCAACCACACTCAAGCAGGTGCTACTTCTGCCAGACCCTATATAAATATATGTAGGAATATTATTTGATAAACTTAGATTGAAAAACCATTGTTGACTGTTGATGACCCTGCATTTTCTGTAGTAGTTGGAGGACCCAGGAGCTTTGGCAAGCGGCGTTATTTGTTCACGTACACTTCCGTTAGAAATGCCCATTTGTATTAAATGATCAGTTGAATGTCTGTTTCAGTGTCTGGGGAATGGCAGGGGCAAGACTGAATTGATCCCACCCTTTCTTACAACTGGGCGAGGCACCATTTTTCTTTGAACATCTTGGCAGAAGGTCTGTTGACTTTTAGGAAGAAACTCCCTTTTTCCATTCATTCCTTTTACCTGGGGACTTGAAGCAAGAAAAGTTGCATCTTTATTTCCAATGACAAGGAACTTGTTCTCCTGGAGTCTTTGTTCTTTGTATCCCTGTCTGTGAAGACAGGCATTTGCTTGTCCCTTTGTCCTTTCTCTCTTCCCCATGTGGCTCTTTCCCCTGCTTCTTTCTTGCCCCTTCCCATCATGATAATGTGTAAGTCAGTCTTCCGATTTGAAGGAAGGTTCTAAGATTCTGTGACTGTACATTTGTAAGGAAACTGCACACTTCTTCCAGGTGTGCATCAGCTCCAGTCCCGCATCCAGTCGTCCAGACAGATCTGTCCAGTTTTCAGGCTGTGATTTCAGGTGAAGGAAGCTGAGGTGGGAGGGGATTGCAATCGATACTGTCAATCCATCCTCCCAAAATTGCAGTGACATGAACTATGGAATCACAATGGTGGGAGGTGAAATGACAGTGGTGGGTGCTGACTTCCGGCGTAGAAAGAAATGAGAAATGTAAAGCCCAAGAAAACAGAGTGGAGACAAAGGTAGCCATGAAAGCAGGCGGGGAAAAGGCAGGAGGCCCTTTCCTGAGAGCCGGTTGTGAATCAGTCATGTACCGTGTGCTCGAGCGGTGACATGAGTTCTCCGAGGTAGGTCCTGTCATCCCTGATCTACAGAGAGGGGAACAGGCATGGAGAGGTTGAGCAGGCTGCCAGACACTCCTCAGGTGGGCAGAATAGGGAAGAGCATGGAGGGAAGGGGCACCTATTGGTTGCCCAGGCTGGGTCTCTGCCAAGGAGGTTTCCCTGAGTCTGAAGATCCAAGTGACCACGAATGTGACAAAGTTTAGCCTGCTTGTCTGGCTCGTGAGGACGTGACTTGGTTCCAATGCTCCTGTTTTCCATTCCGTGGCCTTCACGCCGAACAACATGAAGTCACGCCTGCAGCTGCTTTCTCCCAGTAGGAATGAGTGTGGGAACCCCACGCATGCATGATGGTGGAAGTTAAAAAGTGAGCTCTTTCACGTGCCAACTCGAGCCATTCAGGGAGGCAGAAGAGTTTCTGTTCCCCAGTGACCCTCTCATTACAGAGGGAAAGCTTCTTGGATCCATCAAAGAATCGAGGATCAGGAGCCGTGAGGTGGCACCTCGGGCCCTGGTGTGGGGAGGGCAGCCCTCTGCCTGCAGGCAGTTAGGCCAGGATGCTGTCAGTGCTCACGTCACTTTGGGGTTCGTAGGGAAAAACCACAAATGCAAATTATTGGTTCCATTTCTAGCATAAGACCACGTGAGTACTCTCTTTTCCTGAGGTTGACATTTATTTAATAATTCTGTCCCTCAGGCAGTGCTAACGGGGGATGGAGCCATCACAGGAGTTGCTAGTCACTCACCCTGCACAAATTGGAGGTGGAAAAGCACAGTTTTGAACTCTAATTACTTGTGTTTTTCCCATAATTTGAATTTATATCAGATTCAGGCATGTAAAAATACATTTCTAAATTTCTTTTTCTGAGCCTGTTCTTACCCGGCTGCTCCTTTCCTGAGAACTGGTATAAATTTGGGGAACGGTGAGAAACTATCACTGTTTCGCACATTTTTGCTGAGTAGAGAAAATTTTTAAAAACTTTAGGCAGACACGGAAAACCTGATTATAAAATCACTTAGGGTAGAAACTGGTAGCTCTTTCTATCCCCACTCCCGCATGACCTGAAATGACTTTTTGATGGAAGGGAAATGGACAATTCCAGCAGACTTGATTAATAACCTTCATGTACATAAAATAATGACCACTTCCATAGCACGTCCCAGTTTGGGATTATACTTAATGGTGCTAAATAAACTCTGAAGAATGTAGCTGGTCTCCCTCTTCTGCATGTTCTCTGCCTCCTTGATTAGAATCCTGTGCTGCAGACAAGTTCTAGAAACTGAGTCACACCCTGGCTGTTACACTTTGGCTGCTTCTGGATAGGACAATGGTGATTCCTATAATCAGCTCACTGGGTTCATACAGTTTCAAGCCCTTTGTTCTTAAGCTGAGTAAATAATGCTTTGCATTCCAGCCCTTTATTTAAGGTCATTAATAGCATACCTCAAGATCGCTTTTTTGGCACTGGGTTAAATGAATGTTTTGTTGAACCTTTTTCATCTTTTAAGGACACAAATATCTGATTTAATCTCAGTGGTGCTTAAAATAAACTTTTGTGGCTGAGCCCTATTTGAAAGCTATTCTTATAGGCAGGCCCAGGGCTAAAGATGCCTGGTTGGTTGGCCCCAGTGCCCACCCAAGGTTACATTTGGGAGCCATCGTCAGGTTTGGGGACTATGACTTACGGCTTCCTGCTCTCCACACAGTCCGGAGAGTAGGTGGACTTCAGCTCAATGACTGTTGTAGGTTTTCAGGTTAATAATCAGTCAGATGGGTTTCTGGGTGGTAAGCCCCTTGGGTTAGGATAGAGCAGAACCTTAGGAGGAGTCAAATGGCCATTCCATCCCCCTCAGGCCCTTATCTCCGTCCAGGTCTCTCCTCTGTCTGTCTGTCCAGGATGGCTCAGGCTGCAGGGCGGGGGGCATATCAGGGACCGCTGGCTCTAGGAAATATCTAGAATGCTTAAACCAACAGTTTTTGAAAGTTTTTAGTTTTCATATTTACTTTTTATTTTTCTTTTTCCCTTCTTTAGGATTGTCTAGTAGCAGAAATGGAGGATAAAGTTCTAACCATAGTAAGTATATGTTCTCAAAGTTATTATAAAATTCCTTTTACCAAAACAGGGAGAAGTATTTTAATTAAAGTAAATGCACTGTGGTCAGTTAATTCAGGATATACTTTGGATTATTGCCTTTGGGATATGGGTCTATTAATTTAGATGGGAAAGAAAGAATAAAAGTTATTGAACACCAAGACCAACTACTGTGAAAATTTCTGTGCTGAACTTGGATGTACTGAGGTCTCTCTTTTGCTTTGTTTTCTTTTTTTCCCCATGAACATTTCATCAGTGTGCAGTTAGACTTAAATTGATAGCTAGCCTGTTAATTGGGGTCCTGCTGATCTGCAGATTTTGCCTTAAGACCATTTCGATTAAAACAAATCCTTGGCAAACACTTTGTGATGGAGGGGGATATACTGTGCTTGTTGAACAGCATTTTGTAACTATTCATCATCATTTCCTCCTTTTGACACAAGCCAGCCTGTGCTCTTTTGATAAGGCCTTCCTCCTACTGATGTTGAGGAATTTAGCAATGAAACCACTATAAATATATTTTCCATAAATAGGGAGGCTAAACCAATTGGAGGAGTTTAAAATGTGTCACTTGTTGGATTCTCCCCCTTGGAAAAAATTTTACTCTTTGGAATTTCCTGATTTTTTTTTTTTGTTGTTGTTTAATTTTGAAACTTTGGATGGATCTGATTGCGGGAAGTAACCACATATAACTACTGTGATTTCTACGTGGAGACCATTTCGTAGGGACCCTCACCTTGTCTTTAACATTTTACGTGGTCAGGGGTTGGCATTCAAAGAATGTGAGCATCATCATCATAAAAAAGATTGTGGACCTGAATTCAAAACATAAAACTATAAAAATCCTAGAAAAAAAAACCAGGAGATGTTCTAGGTGACCTTAGGTTTGGTGATGAGTTTTTAGATACAATACCAAAAGCATGAACCATCAAGGAAAAATTGCTAATGAGATTTTATTAAAATGTAAAACCCTGCTCTACAAAATGCAATGTTAAGAGAAGAAAAATATAAGTCCCAAACTAGGAAAAAATATTTAAGAAAACCCCACATATCAGATAAAGGACTTGTATCCAAAATACACAAGGAACCATTGAAATGCAATAATAAGAAAACAAACAATGCAATTAAAAAGTGTGTGAAAGATCTGAATGAAAGGACATCTTACCAAAAACGATACACAGCTGGCAATTAAGCATTTGAAAAAATATACATCATGTTTCATTAGGGAGTTGTAAGTTGAAATGAGAAGATGCCTCTGTATTCTTAGTAGAATAACCAAAGTACAAAACACGACACCACCAAATGCTGGCCCAAAAGTGGAGCAGTGGGAGCTCTCACTCCTCACTGGGGGATGCAAAGTGGTGCAGCCCCTGTGAAAGGCAGTGCGGTGGTTTCTTACAAACCTGAACATGCTCTTACCCTGTGGTGTAGCAGTTGCAGTCTTAGGCGTTTACCCAAATGAATGAAAAATCTACAGCTACAAAAACTTGCATAGACTGTTAACAGCAGCTTTATTCATGATTACCCCAATTTGGAAGCAACCAAGATGTCCTTCAGGAGGTGAATGGATAAACAAACTGTGGTCCATCCAGACATTTTACAGCTGAATATGATTCATCAATAAAAAGAAATACGTTCCCCAGCCATGAAAAGACTGGAGAAGCCTTAAGTGCATATTAGTAAGTGAAAGAAGCAAATCTGAGAAGGCTACATATGGTGTAACAATAACTATTTGACCTTCTGGAAATGGCAAAAATCATAGAGGCTAAACAGTCAACGATTGCCAGGGATTCATGGTGGAGGAAGGGAGAGAGATGACAAAGTGGAGCACAGGCGATTTCTGGGGCAGTGATACTATTATGTGTGATACTGTAACAGTGGATACGTGACATTATGCATTTGTCAAAACCCACAGACCTGTGCAAAAGAGAACCCTGATGTCAACTGTGGGCTTTAGTTAGTAATAATCTCCCAATACTGGTTAATCACCTGTAACAAATGTAATGTGCTAATGCAAGATATTAATAATGTTTTGTTATTATTAACTGTGTTACTGTATAACTATTGGAAGCTGGGTGGGAAAGGAAGTATGTAGGAACTCTGCCCTTTCAGTTCTATTTTTTAACCTGTCAATAATTTTGTCAATATTTGGTGTGCAGAGAGTATGAATGATCACTGAAAAAATACAGATGGTTGGGAATTGGTTCTCCTGGGCTGCCAAAAGGGGGCTCCTGCCCTGCCTGTGTCCGTCAGTGGTTGTATATGAGATGATATAAAAGCTGTACTTTTTAGACAAAGCTGAAAGAGTGGCATCATTCCTGCAGATAGCAAATACGGAGTCCAATTTCACTGAGCAGTATTATCAAAATGATTGCTGACCCTAGCTAAAGATTATAGGCAAAGTGCATTTCTTTCTAATAAACAACCTGAACTGAACTTACAAGCAAAATAGAGACAGACTCCCAGCCAGAGAGCAGGCTGACAGCTATGGGGAGGGGGAGGGAGGGGAGGTGGGGAGGGACGGAGCTAAAAAGAAAAAGGACTCGTGGACATGGACAACATGTTGGTGATTATGGAGGCCAGGTGGGATAAGGGGGATAAATGGTAATGGAAAAATACAATTAAAGTTTTTAAAAAATAAAATAAAATCCAGCTTGAGATAAACTTGGGTGATGGTTGAGCCTCTCCCAACTTTCTGCCTGTCCAACTCTAGGTCAAGGTTCTAAATGGCATCTGTGACAGAACGATCCGGTCCACCGCGGACCCCATCATGAGCCAGTGCGCATGCCTGGAGGAAGTGCACCTGCCGAACGTGAAGCCTGGGGAAGGCCTGGTGAGAATTCCAGCAACACTCATTTTATTTTCTAGTAATAACACACTGTCATTTATTAACTTTTCCCCACAATTCCATATTGCTATCACTATAATTCCCAATGGAATTAGACTGTCCTCCATCATGTAGTTAGGAACTTGCCATCTTGAACTGTTGATATGTTTTTTCCTAATATTTTGTTTGTTGTTTGTTTATGGGAAAGGAGGGAGAAAGACAGGGACAGAAATATCAGTGTGTGGTTGCCTCTCTCACACCCCCACCTGGGGACCTGGCCCGCAACCCAGGCACGGGAATTGACCAGCGACCTTTCGCTTTGCGGGATGACACCCAACCCACTGAGCCACGCCAGTCAGGGCTTGAACTGTTGATAGGTTTTATGTCTTCAAAGTGTAAAAATAAATACACTTTTAAAACTTGTCACTCATATCTTGCAGGAATTGTCTTGACAGTTCTATTTTTAGGAGTTAGCAGTGCAGGGAAGTAGAAAACATTTACTGAGAGGAAAGACGGTCTTTGGGTACAAAACAACATATGCTCCGAAAGTCTCTGCTAGCACTCAGGGTGGGTGCGAGAGGAAGCTGCTTGGAAAGAAGGATTCTTAGAAAACCATTCAGAAATGTTTCATCGGTAATGTCCTGAAGCTCCGTAATAACAGGCCCTGAGAATATATACAGGGTAGTTCCTCATTACCTAGATGAGCACTCAGACTCCTGATGAGATTAACTTGCTGAAATTTAAGTGACGGGAACTGAGGCCCATGGATGAACTTAGAAACTTTGAGTCAAGCTTAATCCCAGCCCTCAAGTGACTTAACCTCTGTATGCGTGGGTTTCCTTATCTGTCAAAGGTGAATAGTAATAACTGCCTCTGCAGGGTGTTGAACGTATTAAGTTAGATGAAGGGTGCTGAGCATCAGGTGCTGAACATGCAGTCCATGTGCAGTAATTGGTGGCTACAGCTACTACAGCTGCCATTGATGATGAGGAGGAGGAAGAGTGCCTAGGAGCTATAGGGAGATATCAAGGCTGTCTCTACTCTCAGAAAACCAAAGGTCAACAAGCCCTCATTCTTAGCAAGTAGAAATATGTATACAGAGACAGCTCGGCTTCAAAGTGAATGATGGACTGGAAGACTGGACAGGGAAGGCTTCCTGGAGCTGAGTTTAGAGTTATGCATTGAAGCAGAGAAAGGGCCCGAGTGGACGGAAGTGGAGTTGCTATTTCAGAAGGTAAAGCTGCACAAGCACGTGCTCTGGGCAGGGGCATGCCCTGGGCAGGGAGCAGCTGATCACTCTGAGAATGAAAACACGTAACTGGAGAGGAGAGGGATGGGGCGAACCCTCAAGGGGTCATCTTTGAGGAGATTCTCATTATGGAAGGGCAAGTTCAGGGTCAAAGTGATTTCTTGGGGAGAAGCTGTTATTGTGACATTGATACGAGGGTGAGCAATTACTCTTCGCCCAATCCAACTGCAGAAATGTGTTCTCGATGACATGGCTAACTCACAGGGAAAAGTGTATTTGTCTGATGCTTCCCTTAAAGCAGAAGGGGGCTTGCTTCTAGTTTACTTCTTATTTTGTGTTATTTAATAAAATCATTCATACATCCTGGTCTGGGTTGTTCGTGGGTTGAGTAAGTCAACCTACAATGACGGCTGATACCAAATTTGACTGAATATATTGTGTCACTGAACAAAGAGATGGTCAGGAGAGAACAGCCCTTGTTTGAAAGGCCTCCTTCATCCTGCAGGGCTGGGAAGATTCTCTCTGAGTCCCCAGAGTCACAGCAAAATTTGGTGTGCCTGGTACACACATGAGGATCAAAGAGATCTCGTTTCTGATTTCTCCCACTAGTATTTCAGTGTGTTCGGTTCCCCTCCCCTGCTCTGAGGATCTTGTTTCACAGTGTTTCTGGAGGCTTCAAAATGAGCATTGTTCTGCAGGGACTGCCTTTAATGTTTTATAAGTTCAAGTCACACTTGCGGCTATATTTGTAAACAATGGAGTAATGAGTTAATATTATCTGTGACTCCCTCCAGGGCATGTACATCAAATCAACCTATGATGGACTGCACGTGATTACTGGAACCACTGAGAACGTAAGTGCCTGTCCACGCAATGTAAAAGCGATCAGATGTTTAAACAAATTGGACACAGGGTCCCCATGCTTTTCATTTAAATGTGTGCATGCTGTTTTATTGTCTGTAGTGAGAGCATGGGCGCCTGTTTCGTTTATCATGCCGCTAGTATGCTGCTTATCACCAGCTGTTGTCAATTTATTATTTAAATTGCCCTTTATTGCTCTTTCATGCATCTTGCCCTGTGTTTACCCCACCTTTGTTTTCATTATTCCTTTTGTACCCTGAAAGTATTAATGCATAAATACAAAAGACAGTGATCTGTTTCCTATTGAGAGTCACTCTTACAAGAGCTATGTGTAAAATACAGTGTTTTTTGGTTCGATGGAATCTATGTGTCACCAAAGCGACTATTTTGGGATTTTTGTATGACAAAGATTCTTTTTATAGAGTTGTATTTCATAACATTTGGTATGATGTTGAAATTTAGGGTTTTTTGTCCCCTAAGCTTTTGAATAGAAACAGTGAGGCTGTTGCTGCTATGAGAGACTTTGTACACTATTATCCTTCGTTTGGAAATTCTCCTACATGGATGGCATTTCTTTAGCCCTGAAACATTTTGAATTTGTGAAAAGTAGAGCTCAGTGAATGCTTTCTTTTTGCAACCTACAAGATGGCAAGCTTTTAAATGACATTGATATGAAGCTTAAAGTGTCTGATTAGCTTCCAGGGTCTGTGTAAAAAAAGCATGTGTCTGTGGAGTTAATTTACCATTTAATCAACTAAGACAAGAGGAAATGATGTCTTAAAACAGAAGAAATTGGGTACCTACTTTTCTAATCTGTTTGGCAGAAATGTGTGTTGAATTTAGGTCTTTTGATAAAATGGCATGACCTCTGATGAGGGTTTGTGACACAGACTTGGTTTTTGTAGGAAGAAAATAATGGCATTGCTTAAGGCAGTTAGTGAATTATAAATAAATTGTGTGGTTCTGGCAGATGAATGAGTAAATGTCTTTAAGCGTTCTTTGTTGAGCTACATGGAGAACACACAGGGAACCACTAAAAATTTTTATACCATCTCACCTAATGGGCAATAACAACACAGGAAGTTCTTCTTTTAGACTGAGGATGGTGAAAAAGAAGACAATGAATAGTGTATCACACAGTTCACCCCTTGTCCTTATCCAAGACTTCATATATTTCAGCTGAACCATGACAAGAATACACTCGGAGACCACTCAGGGCATTGTTTTAGAGTTGGGTGGATTCAGAAGGGTGGTGACTGAGAGTTAAGCTTTTAGAGTTGTTTTTGCACCTAGCAATTAGGTGATCTCATTAACAACCAGACCTGTGTGGCTCTAAATTCCCTCTGGTCTTCTTGAAGCAATTTCAATCTTGGATAAATGGAGAAATGTGTGGAACACTGTAATGTCGCTACTGGACGGCACACAGATATTTCATCTTCAAAGGGAGCCCCTTCCTTTTGTTTTAAGGATGAGAGATGAGTGAGAGACTAAATGAGCTGCTTTTCAATCAAATGACATATCAAATATAACGATACATTTTCCAAAAATTCCCACCTAGTCATAAGACTAGGTGAGTGATTCAGGGTTTGCCTGGATGTAGTTGACCCTAGTGAAGGACTGTACGTAAGTCGCCCCAGAGACGGGTGGTTTCCCTCCAGTTAAAGATTAAGAAATGAGCACTCGTCTCACTCTGGTGATCCATTTGAGAATGCCACCCGCTCTTTCAGACATTCAGCCCTGTTCACTGAGCACCCAGAATGTGCTGAACACTTGCTAAGTCCCGTAGATGAGGGTGGGAAGTTAAGTCAGAATCCACGTTTCATGGGCTTAACTTGGACATCTTATACTTCATGCTGGTTGAAAACGCCCACTACAGGACAGCTTTCCAGCTTAAACTTGCTATGACTTCAGAGTCAGAACGTCTTAATGGAAACCCAGTGGGGTGGGTGATAGTGGACGAAAATGACCCATTGCATTGCCAAGCCAATGATCTCCGTGTTCCTCTATCTTGGACTCCAAGCTGAAGCAATGCCAGGGGCCATCTCAGTCCTCTAGGACTTTTTTGTTCTGTTTTTGAGGTTATCCAGGAAGCCGTGATCATTCTAAAGTCAGACCGGACAGTATCTAGTGATTCTTTATCTAGCTTTTTTTTTTGTTTGTTTGATGTTCGACACCTTGACAGGAGTCTTGACAGGATCCCCTCCGTACCCCTGTTCCACCTCCCCCGACCCCATGAGATGAAGTGGGAATGAGATTAGCTTCTGAAGAATGGATACATTCTTCTTCAGGTCATCACCCTTCTGCTGCAAACCAGAACAAGCATCGTTTTTCAGCAGGCCTGCTCATGGTGAAGATAGGCAAGAGCTCTTGGCCTAGGGAGAATTGCAGTATCGCTCTCTCTTTACCGGTGTTCTGCCAAGCACAACTCTTAATCACTCGGTAGGACATTTGAGAAATGAATGTGGGAGGATCCTTAGGAAGGGAAGTCAATTCAGGACATTGGGGCTTTTATTTTAAGATTGCGCATCTGTAAATGGGGGCTTCCTGGCATGGGGGCCAGCTTTTATAAGGCAAAACTTGCCTTAAACAAGTCTTCAGCTCAGGAAGATGAGCTGGGAAAGTTGGTCTCTTGCTCTGGGTTAAGCATCTGACACACAGGGACAAAAAGGAGCATTGGTGTGTTCATTCATTTTTACATGCCTCAAGAGAGATTCCAGTTAGGCCATCTCCCTCCGATTCCCATGACGCCGGTCTCTCAGGTGAGACACTGCTGGTTGTTATAGCAGCAGGTTTTTCTTAAAAAATAACAGCCACACCTGTGCTCTGTGTAGGCCCTAGAGAAATGAAGGGGAGTGTTGCCACAGTTTGATGCTGCTTTTTGCTCATGCCTAGTGGAGTCTGTCACAACAGCTGAGTGAGAAAATTCAGCAAGTGTGTCTTCAGTTTAGTTGCCACCCCCCAACCCTGTTCAAAGGTGCTATTTTTTTTAAGGATAGTTGTAAATTGTTTGAGATTCAGGCAGTTACATCAGTTACCAAATAAAATGTTCTGGCCTAGACAACATTTGATTATCATGTGAAATCAAAGGTTTATCTTTTCCTTCTCTTTTGTTCATGTAAGATATCTTAATCATAAACAATTCTAGATTGGTTAAAGGGACAAGAATACTATGGCCAAAATATTTGATAAGTAGACTACATCAGTATGTCTATATAGACATACATATGTGAGTATGTATTTGCAAATTTGTGGTAAAGTATTCTTTTGGAAAGTAAAGTCTGGAAGTTTGTTTTGATACTGGAAACATGTTTATTTTGAATTAAACCTGCAAATGAGGAGAAATTTAAATGTATTGTCTTTAAAAAAAACATTTCTCTTTTTACCATCTTTCTACTTTAATACCATTGTGATAACATGTAAAACAGCGTTGAGTGAAAATAAGACTTAGCTTTAATAATGACTTAGAAGGAGGTGGAGTGACAGAGTTACAGTTAAACAGCTTTTACAGGATTCGTTTTATAAGGGTGGGTATTTTTTAGGTGAGCCCCAGTGGCTTTTACCAGCTCATCACATCCACAGCGTGTCCCACTCTCCCTGCCAGGTGACATGAAGCCAGCTGTTGTCACTGACAGATTACCTGTTATCACAGGCCACTGATAAAACAGACACCGCAGGTTTCAGTGCACCAGGTTCTGCACAGGATGCAGTCTCAGGGAGCTCACATGCGCTGTGTAATCTGTCTTGAGAAAAGCACATTTCCATTGCGCATTGTCTATAGAAGAAAGAAGGATGAAGAACCACAAGCAGAAAGAAAGGCAAAGCTTAGAAAATAAGACCGGTCTCTCTGTTTCTCATAGTCTCCTGCAGACAGGTCTCAGAAGATCCACGCTGGGGATGAAGTCATCCAGGTCAACCGGCAAACTGTGGTGAGTTTTTCATTGAGACCTAAGACATAATACTCCCCTCTAAGGATCTGCACCTAAATCCAGAGCCATTTTGCTTGAATTTTTAAAATTTGAAGTTTTCCATAATTTTAGGTAGTACTGAGATGAACATATTTGTACCTACTTCTTTGCTCCCAGCTGATTTCCTTGAGATCCATTCATAGGTTTGATGTTTTTCCTTATTCATGAGCGGGTCCCCTCCCTTCATTTTCTTTCTTTGAATGAAGGTGGGATGGCAGCTGAAAAATCTGGTGAGAAAATTGAGAGAGAATCCGACGGGAGTTGTGCTCTTGCTGAAGAAGCGCCCCACAGGGTCCTTCAACTTCACTCCTGCGCCTCTGAAAAACCTGCGGTGGAAGCCGCCTGTCGTGCAGGTATCTGGGTCTATTTCCATGGTCTCTTATAAGCCTCCGCCTGGTATCAGGGCTTGGCCAGCACTCAAGAAAAAGCAACATAAAAATGGGAAGGAGATCGGTTTTGGGATCTGTATATGCATAATTCTCCTATAATCCTACTTACACAAAAATAGACATTCTAGATCTGCACTGAACAGTACCGTGACCACTAGCCACATGGGACTATTTAAATAAAACGAAGAGCTCAGTTCCTCAGTCTCACTAGCCACATTTCAGAGGTTTAGTAGCAACATAGGCTAGTGGCTGCCATGGCTGCAGGAAGTTCATGCTCAGTCCTTCTCTCTCATTTCAAATGGGCAATGATATGTATCCAGTTTGAACCCTAACCTTGGGGAGACCATGTGGGGTTGGGTCAGGGGTAGGGACCATGGGAATAACCCACCTGGTGGCGAGAAGCATCACTTGATTGTGTAGACATTGTTTAGAATTGCCTGTCTTGGCTGATAATCAAAACCAGACTGGCTTTTAGTGAGGCTTATTATTTAAATGTTCTACAAACAGTACACTCCTTTGTCGCCTGCACCTTGGTGGACCGTGCCCACCGACCAACCCCCTCGTTATACCAGTGGTCCTTTGCATTTATTACCTAAACCACACATGAAAAGCAACGGCATTTGAATGTCCTTTTATAAGGTTGGGATTGTAATGTATGTGTAACTGTGGTTTGTTACACATCTTCAAATGGGAGGAACAGTTGTAATCTCAAGCCATCCATTTGGATACTTCATGATGCACAGAACACTGGGAGGTGGATTAAATAACAGGGCGTGGAGGGTGGAGCAAGGAGGGGCACAGAATTAAACTCCTGTCTTAAATAATAGCTGATTGTATTAATCACACCCCGACTGCTTCTGTGTGCATTGCTCAGTGCAGGGGTAACATCTTTCAATTTGGGTGGGGAGGATTCTCAGAATGTATTACTTAATATCGCAGAAGTCTTACTTCATCTTTAGTAGTTGATGGAGTGCCTGCCAGCTACTTGGTGCACAGAAGAAATGTTAGGCTCTGAAGAAGGGGAGGTGGGGGTGGGCCGGGGAGGTGAAGGCCCCCTGCCCATGGAGGGGGGAGCACTTTGGAGCCTGGAATGGCAGATGGGATTTGGCCAGTGGGACACCATGTCACAGAGGAGATGGATGCTGTTCTGATGAATGCTGTTCTGTAGACATGCGTCTACAAATGCCAGCAGGGGAGGGTGGTGTCCTAGGCAAGGTTTCCTAGAAGCAGAGTCTGTGACGGATTCTTGTCAAACTGATTTTTGAGGATGTGGCTTCGGGTAAAACTTGTAAGGGAGGAAGGGAGACAGTAGGGAGCAGGAAGCCAGCAAGGTGGTGTGTCAGGTAAACTCTGGCCTTGGCCTGTTGTACAGGTGTAACCACAGAACAACAGGCTCCCATAGCTGTACTCAAAGGGAGGGGCTGTCCGCTGGGAGTCATTCTCCAGAGAAGGAGAGAGCTGTGAGCTTTGAGCAATCAACTCATGAGCTGGGTTGGCTGGCTGGCAGAGGGGCTGTGGGTATATGGGCACGGTGGCCCTACTTCAGGAATGCGTAGATGGGACATTCCCTCCGTTTCCCACCCCCGTCAGCCCTGGCAGAGGGCAGGAGAGGCAGCGGGGCTGGTGGGCCGAGGTAGTCCAGACTGCCAGGGTTAGGAGCATGCACTTCATCCCCGAGGTGGGCAGTTGTTTTTTACATGAATCTATGCGTTGGGTTTCCAGGGGTGCCCTAACAGAGCACCCCAGAGTGGGTGGCTGAAACAAAGTTCCTCTCCTCACAACGCAGACGACTAGAAGGAGTCTGAGCTCAGGGTGTTGTCAGGGTCGGTTTCTTCGGAGGCCCCTCTCCTTGGCCTGCAGACATCCGCCTTCTCCCTGCGTCCTCATGTACTTGTTCTGCCACCAGTCTGTGTCTGAACCTTATAGGGACACCAGTCATTCTGGATCAGGCCCTAAGCTAATGAGCTCATTTTAACTTTGTCTCCAAGGCCCTATCTGCAAATACAGGTACATTCTGTGGTCCTGGGAGTTAGGCCTTCAACTCGGGGATCTTGAGGCGGACGTAGTTCAGCCCAAGACATAATCTAACAGAGGAAGCACCAGGGGGGAGCTGTTGTATGTCTAGGTGGTCGGTGCTGTGGTTCTGAGAAAGGCTGGTGACGGGGATTCAGTGAAAGGCTCATATATGAAGCTCTTTGGAAACAGACTCACAAAGCTGCGCAGCATAGTGGTTAGGAGACGGGCTCTACACACAGTTCAACCCCTTGAATTCAAATCCCAGCTCTACTGCTTATGAGCTTCGGGGCTTAAGACAAAGTACTTATCTTTCTGAACCCCCCTCCTCACTCATTATTAGTGTGGACTGTTAGAAAAGTCCACACTAATAACGTGGACTTTTCACTTTGGGCTGAGTGATGAGGAAAGCCAGCATGGCAGGTGTGAAATGTGACAGTGACAGTGAACCTGGGTGGCCGTATCAGTGACAGAAATTAGCATGTGAGCAAAGAGCCATCTGGAAAGCAGAGATGATGGCCCATTTGAGCATCACAGAGTTTGAAGTGATAGGGGAACATTCAAGTGGATGTGCCCAGAAGCTAAGTGAAAATCATTCTAAGTGTAGGTTAGAGTCGGACCCTTAACCTCTGGACATTCGCTTAGGAAGGGCGCACTTCCGTTTTCTCTGATTTTGTCTACCTTCACGCCAAGTTCGCTGAGTGTGGAGTTTGGGTTAAGAGGTGATGGTGAGGGATGAGACATTCACTTTTGCTTTAGACCCAGGGAGAGGACTGCTCTCAAAACGCAGAGGCCTTTTTATAGCTCAGGTGCCATGTGTTCTCGCGATATGTCAGGGCATCTACAGAATCTGTACCTGTGCTCCGTAGAGTCTTTCAGCTCCTCCCCCGTGTCGCTGTGTGAGTGTCTTTCTTCAGGGGCCTTTGTGTTTTGGGTCATAGTCCTGGTTGGTGAGGAGTGCTGATTTGGAAGTAATCATCAGTGTTGGCATTTTCAGAGTGCTTGGTCGGCGGAAATGCTCCAGTTTGCTTTTCTTTTACTTGTTGAGGACCTGGATCCTGGCCCTGTGTGTTCAGACATTGTCCAAGATAAACAGGTTGAGATGTTAATCAATTACACATTGAGTAGAGTTGACCTGTTCATGGCCAACATCCAGGATGTGGTGCTTATGCTACAGGAGATGAAAGACTGAGCCCCTGTTTTTCTGAGTCCTCTGGGAAAATGGGCCATCACTCTGTGATCAGTGGCTATTCCAGGCCTTCCCATCCTTTGAACCTAGTTCACCATCTCATTATGGGGGCACAGTGGGATCTTCCATCACCATCTGGGCTAGGTAAGGTTTGGGGTGCCTTTTGCTGTCTGTCCAGGGCCCAGCGCAGTTCTCACGTGGCCCCTCCATGGACGTCTTCATGCCCTGACTCTGAGAGTTCCTTGCTGTTCCTTTGCCGACCAGAAAGTGATTACTGTTGTTGTTAGTCTATAGAAGAGATAAGACTGAAGGCCTCATGCAAGATCTTTAAAAATAGGTCTTTTGACATCAGCATAATTAAAATGAAGCTGTGTGGATTTTTTGTTTTGAAAATTAGCTTATATGCATGTGTATATATGTGTAACACTGAATTAAACGCTGTACGGTTGTGCATTTCCTGTGTGACGAGCAGAGTGCTAACAGCATTACATATATTATCTCGCTGGATTCCCATAGCTACCCTGGGTTGGTCCTGTACTTGTCCCCATTTACTTCTCTTTTCTAGACAAAGCGCAGAGAAGTTCAGTGATGTACACAGCTAGTTCCCCCTGACACGTGGTTTTCTTTTCGTGGCTTTAGTTATCTGTGGTTCCAGTTAACTGTGATTAACCATTGTCCAAAAACATTAACTGGAAAACTCCAGAAATAAGCAACTTATCTACTTTTAAGTTGCTTGCCCTTCTGGGTAGAGTGATGACATCCCTCCCTGCCCCGCTCTGTCCCACATGGGGCATGAATCATCCCTTTGTCCAGCATCTCCCCATTGTACGGGCTACCTGCCCTTTAACACTTCATAACCACCCCAGTTTTAAGATCAGCTGTCAGGTATTTTGAGAGAGAGACCCCATTCGCGGACCTTTTATTACACTATATGGATTCGGGAGGGGGAGACGTGTCCCAAGGATGACCTCCAAGGTGACCTCCGCCCTTGTGCACCTGCTCCTGTTTCAGACCTCGCCTCCACCCACCACCACCCAGTCCCCCGAAAGCACCATGGATACCTCGCTGAAGAAGGAAAAGCCAGCCATCCTGGACCTTTACATTCCTCCCCCGCCGGCCGTGCCCTACTCTCCCCGGTATGTATGGCTCTGTCCCTCTGTGTGGCATGCACATCTCCTGTTCGTGGAGGTTCCAGGTGGTGGCGTGAGATCCCAGGGCTCTTGAGGGGAAAAGTTGCTGAACCCCAGTGTGGCAAGTTCCAGTCCTAAGACTGTTGTTAAGGAGTGTGATCCTGGGGGTGGGGGTGGGGTGGGGGGGCAGCAGTGAAGGTGGTCAAAGGCACAAACTTCCAGTTATAAGATGAGTAAGTCCTGGGGAATGTCATGCGGGATGGTAACTATAGTTTACAATTGTACATCTTGTATATGCAAGTTGCTGAGAGAGTGGATCTTGAAATTCCTCATCATAAGAAAACAAGACTTGGTGACTGTGTGAGGTGATGGATGTTATTTAAACTTACTGTGGTGATCATTTCTATATCTATCTGTCTATTTGTCTAAAATAATTATTTTGTACACCTTGGACTAATAATACAATGTTATGACAATTGCATCTCGGTGAAACTGGGGGGAAATCTGTGACCCTTCAGTGGGGAAGTGCAGGGACAGATCCAGGTGTCATGGGCCTTGTTGCTTTATAGCTGGGTGGGGGAAGGGCTCTTCACAGAAGCACGAGCTCTTGGCAATGCACTGCTGTGGCTCCTCCTTGGACAGGGGAAGGGGCTGCTGGGGGTCCCTAAAGCTGAAGCTTCATGCACTACCTGGTAAATTCACCTCTGGGGAGGAAGGTAATAAATATTTCTGGGACATGAGCTAAAGTTACAGCTTTATTTTGCTGAAAGAGATACATTCTTCATAGCACTTAAAAATGTGACTGTAGGTGTGGATAATGCTGTATTTGCACACGTGTGTGTTTATGTGTGTGTCTACCATAAATTCTTAAAGGCCATTGCTTTATAATGGCTTTCTTTAATGTTACACGGTGTAATGAGGGTGGCCGCACTAGATGTTATATAGGGGTGATTTAGGTGTGAAATATAGGCTCATTCATGTTAACTTACACATTTACATGGGTTGGTAAAGCCAGAGAATCTGGCTCATTCATTCTGTATGCATTGACTTGGTGTTAGCCCGGGGTTTCCATATTACACGGAACAGATACAGTTCTTGCCCGCAGACAACTGCCAATGTCTTTAGTCAGCTGTTCAAGAATAACTTGAGAAATATGTAATTATGCTATAATGTTTCATAAGACAAAGTTCAGGCTGAGCTTATAGTGGTGTTTTACTTTATATTGGAATGTTTCATTTGTTTGTTTTGTTGTAAGCTGAACCATTTGCTTCTACTGGATTTATTTCTGCCACCAAGAAGAATTAACATCATTTTCCTCTTCTTTGAGTCCTGATTTGCCCAGAACTCCTTAAGGCACATAGAACAGTCGCTTTAGGTGGTCAGGGGCATTCTGGTTGGTAGACAGGACCCTTCCTCATAGTCACAGACCAAGGTCCTGTGGAATGGGATCTTATGTGTGTTTAAAGCAACAGGCTGTTGCCTTTGCATATACAAAACACGAGAGTGTCACTGATCATCAGTGTGTGGGTCGTTCTATCAGAAACTGTAGGGAGAACAGCCCCCGACTCCCACCCCCAAACCTGAATGTTCTTGTCTGGGTCTCAGGGCAGTGGCAAGAAAGAGAGAAATGCACGTATTGAGCAAGAAGAGGAAGTGGGGCTTTGAATCTACTTGGATGGGGCACAAGTGCACGTGTGTGTACACACACACCACCAACGAAGGACGGTTTCCGAGGAATGAAAAATGCAAATGGTTATGGGGAACCAATGCTGAGTCATGAAAGTTTTGTGAATGGGGAAGTTACATGCCAGGTTTAAAATATGGAGATGGATTCATGGGGGACGGGGTGCATAGGCAGCCACTCCCTGGGGACCACCACCGCATGGACTAAGCCGGTCTTCAGGTTGGTTTGGACTCAGCTGATGCTGTATTTTGTCTGGTAGTTTGTACAGTAAATCATCTAGTAGAATTTACTAAATGCAGAAGACGTAACGAGCCGGTCACTTGGACTCAACTGAAATTAATTTTAACTTTTATTGTAAGCTGACATTTAGGAGGAGTCAAGTTGTAATCAAAGATCCAACTTTTGCCAGTCTCTGTACTTAGTTCAGAAAATAGACACGCTCCATTGAGGACTACAAAGGCCCTTTGTGTTTTTGACATAATGTTCAAATCTGACAGCCCCACTACACATCAGGTGTCTTTTTTCCCCCTGGATCTTGGCAAAGACACTACTCTGGGCATGAGAAAAATGGTCCAATGGGTCACACCTTGACTTGAGAGTCTGGTGGGACATTGGCGGTTCCCTGGCAGGACAGAGACATGGGGAAACCAGATCCACCTTCTCAAAGATATATTTGTATCCTTTGAACACATTTGAAAAACACTTATTTCCCATTGTTTAGTAGGGTCATGGCATTGACTCACACTTAATAGTATCTCTGTGTATTTGAGGAACAATTAGAATTGAAAAAGTAACCCTTTTCCCTCTGGCGGAAAAGGCGATTTACATTTTATGTGTAAATCACATAAGGCTGCGTTCTGTGATTCTTCAGCGGGGGAGGGACTTTGTCAGCAGGTCCCTTATTGCCCACTGTCTTCCAGGGACGAGAATGGGAGCTTCGCTTACGGAGGGGTCACTAAGTGCAAACAAGTCGTGCCTGCTCCCAAGGGTTCAGAGTCCCCCAATTCCTTCCTGGACCAGGAGAGCAGAAGACGGAGATTCACCATTGCCGACTCCGATCAGTTGCCTGGGTATTCGGTTGAAACCAACGTTCTGCCCACAAAAATGAGACAGAAGACACCGTCTTATGGTACGAGTCTGAGTATTTGTTTTGTTCTGCTGTTTGCACTTCTTCTCCTCCCCACCCCCTTCCTTATTTGGAACTGTTGGATGAATTTGGCAGGCCCTCAGGGTAATCTGAGGAAAACATAAACCTCAATGAAATTCTAAGTATGAGACCTTTATTCATCTCTCTAAAGCGAAGCCTTGTTGAGTCATTGCTCTGCCTGGCATCAAAGCCCAGCGGGTGAGATCATGTTCCAGTTTTAACTTTCAGAGCCTGGCGTTTCACTGTGGAGTCGCTTCGCTCTGTGCGCCTGCAGACTCCAGTTCAGCACGCCCCCGTCTTGATTGTGTGCTATGGAAATCCGATGCTTTCAAATACTTTCCTTATTTTATATTATGTTATGGCTTCTGCTTAAGTGAGTGTGCTTTGGCGGGGGTGGTGGTCTAAGTTGCAAATACAGGGGAAAGATTCTCTGAGCTAAAAAGTCACCCAGTGTCACTTTCCTTCCCCTCCCTCTGAAGGCAAGCCCCGGCCTCTGTCCATGCCTGCGGATGGGAGCTGGATGGGGATCGTGGACCCTTTTGCCAGACCTCGAGGCCATGGGAAGAAAGGCAAGTTTTTAAGCAAATCATATCCAATAAGGAATCCAAAGACCCGGGCTCTAGTTTCAGCCCTATTTCTAAATGTATTGTTGTAACTGGAGAGAGGACTTATTCTCTCTGAGCCACATCTTGTCATCTCTAAAATCAGGATGGCTGAAGATCTCTCAGATCCAACTTATTTCTAGAACGGCCGAACTATGCAATGCTCTTAGTGATTGTAAATCTCCCGATTAGCAGTATGTGCTTTGAAAAGGCTGTAGGCATTAATGGTCCGGATTCTAAGCAAGTAGAAATAAATTATTCATATGCAATCGCATCCTAAATTTTATGGCTGATATTAGTGGAGTCTGTTTGACTTTTCATGAACAGGCATGGATTTCCCCCCCTCCCAAATCTAATCATTGTGGTAGGGAGTAATTACTGTGGGAAAAGAAATTTGTGTTTCGTTAACCCTGTAATCGCTCGCTGGTTATTATACCAGTCTGGAGGGGAATGTTCATAAATATCCCTGTGTTTTTGCCAGTTTACACTTGATGATCTCAACACTGGCAGGACATTATAACTGCCTTTGCAGCAAGGAAACACAGCAGGCTTTAGATAGGGAAAGGAAAAAGGAAACGTTCTGAAAGCAGCCTCTGACCTCTTCTCGGGACTTGGTAAAACCAGGTGCCCGAATCACCTGGGTTGTGCTCACGTGGAAGAGGAAGAAGACACCTGTGTAAAGTCCAGAACACCTCCCGCTGACGTGTGACAGTCTGTGGAGCTGTCAGCAGATGGCAGGCTGTGTCCTTTGTTTAGTTTTAGAAATGCCAACATCTTTGTTGCTGCTCTCTTAGCCTTTTAAGGTCTGATTTAGCCTTTTATTTCCTTCACGCACTGAGAGATGGCAAGGGATGGGGGGAGTGTGAAATCAGTAATTGGAAGCACACTTGACCCCTTGTCCCACCTTCCACATTTTTTCTTGTATGATCATTTTAGAATGAAAAATGTCTGCATGGTGCACACCTTAAAAAGAGGAATGCAGCTTTATCGAGATGTACCTCACATATACTGTGAAGCCCACCCTGTTAAAGTGTACAACTGAGTGATTTTGAGTATAATCACAGGGTTGTGTGTCCATCACTGTGATCTGATTGCAGAACGTTTTGCCACCTTGAAAGGGGACCCCGAGCCCATAAGCAGTCACTTCTCATTTGTTCCTCCCTCCGTCCGTGGCAACCCTACTTTCTGTCTTTGTGGGTTTGCTTATTCTGGACATTTCATGTCAATTGACTCATACAGTATGGGGCTTTTTGACAGTGGGTACTTTTTAAAAGCAGCTTTCCCTCTTTGATTACAAAAGCAAAACAAGTACATTGAAGAACATCTAGAAGGTACAAGAAGATAAAACCCAGCTGTTAATCTGCTTCCCCAAACTAGAAATAATCACTAGGAATGTTTTGTGTGTCTTCTGGTTATTTTCATAAGTACAATTATACATTTAGAAAAAATTGCAGAATGGAAGAAATAGATGTTCAGTAATACTATGTAAGCTGAATATTTATCTAGAACATGTTTTTAATAGCTGCATTAGTAATCCATCTTGTGGCTATGATACCTATTATTCAGTCATTGTTGGACATTTAGGTTATTTATGTTTTTATCCCTACACCCCCCCATCATAAATAATGCTTTAATAAGCACCCTTGTACATAGATCTTTGCACATTTTTAGGGGTGGAATTTTTTGGTCAAAAGAATGCCAAAGTGCCCTGCATTGTAGATTTCTGTTCAGTTTCATAAATACCCCCCACCAATCCCAGGGGAGTCTGCTGGTGTCTTGGGTGGGATCGGTTTGTCTTGTTCAGAAAAGTTCTGAGCATTGCAGAGCATTAAAAATTTTGGACCTTATCCAGTAAAGGTGACTAGTGCCTGTCCTTCACTCAGGGTGACAACGGAAGGTACCCCCACCTTTCTGAATGCTCCAGGATAAGAAGCATGTTCTAGAAGCACACGCTGTGTGCTGCAGGCGTTGTGGAAGGACAGATGGGGAAGGGGTGATGGAGTTGCACAGCTTTCTCTCTTTGTTTCTTGGTTTCAAGCATAATTATGAAGATTGTTACACTGGTAAAGAAGGGCAGGGGTCAACGAGGCTGTGTAGCCTGTCCTGGGAGCAGGGCAGAGTGTGGTACCCACCATAGGCTTCAGGCCCAGTTAATAGTGTTATATGGTGTTCGGTTATTTTAATGGGCTTGTGGTCTTTGTCTGGAAACAGGTGAGGAGGCCCTGTGTCGCTACTTCAGTAATGAACGGATCCCTCCGATCATCGAAGAGAGCTCCTCCCCCCCATACCGGTTCTCCAGGCCCACCACGGAGAGGCAGCTGGTCCGAGCAGACTACATCCGAGGCAGCAGGTGCTACCTCAGTGCAGATCTCCATAGCAGCGCCACGATGCCATTCCAGGAGGAAGGGACCAAAAAGAAATCCGGCTCCTCCGGGGCCAAGTCCTCGTCTGCGGAACCGTCCCTGCTGGTCAGCTGGTTTACTCGCCTGAAACTGTTGACGCACTGAGCCCTGCCCTCCCCGGACTCCCCACCGCCCCCGCTCCCAAGTGCCTTGCTTCCCCCGTGGACAACCTGTTCTGATTTTCATGCACAGTATTATGTAGACACCTTTTGTGAATTAATTTTATTTTATATTTGGAAAATTGTACGTTGCCCTTCTTGGAATGTTGAAGGAAGTGGGTGGGAATGAATCTAGAGGGTCTTAGGCGCTGGTTTGTGGAAGTGGAAGGAAGAGGTGGGTAGAGTGGGCTTTTCTTGCTTCCTTAGAGTCAGAACGTGGAGACACGCTCTACAAACCAAGCCTCTGCCAGGAATGGTAAGGTCCCTGGGCAGAACTGGGGCATTATCCATTGTTGGGGTGGGAGAAAACTGGTGGCCATTGTCCCACAGGTGTGTTGGTTTGTGGTCCCACCGGTCCACCTGAAAAAGTCAGTGGAGAAAACATTTTCATTGTGATTTTTTTCAAGCTACATACCCCATTTGTCAGTGTAGCTGCGGCTTTGACTTTGAAATAACGTGTTTCGGAAGTGTCTGCCGCTCTTTCAGAGCAGAGGTGTAAGCATAGACCTGTTACACTTGGTTCATCCCTCTCCGTAACAGTCTCTGTGCAGGTTGATTGATACAGAAACACACTGAGATAGGGCTTATCACGCACACAGAAGTGTATGGTTCTGCGGGGCGGTGTTTTCATACATTATTGTCTTCGAGGGAGAAGAAGCTATGGGATTTGCTGACAGCCAAAGTATCGTTAAGGAAAAGGAAGCCACCGGACTCAAGTTTGTGAAAGACACATCGGTTTGCATTTGGACCTATTTGGTGTCTATCTTCCAGAAAAGAACGGACAGTTCTTCAATATTACACATTTTGCTAATTAGAAATATCTTGGAAAGTCTCACGGTCACAGATTTTCAAGTAGCATCAGGTATTTTGGAAAAGTGTGTCTGGATATTAACTCTTGTTTAAACTGAATGTATGATATTTTGTTAGAATGGAAAACTACTATCTTGTTAATTTAAGTGTTTTAAATATAGTTGTATATTTTTCTTACTCTTAGTCACATGTAACGGAACTATTTCTGTTTTGCGCCATACACAAAGCTCGTGAAAAAGAGCGTTTGGGGTGTTTTCAGGTTTACAAGTGACTGACCGCATGGCTGTCGCCACCAGGAGCACGATCATTAAAAAACAAAATAAACCCTCCCAAGAATTTGGGATTTTGATGGATTAGAAATGGGAGTGCGAAGTAACAGTACATGTGGGGGATTTTCTGAGGTGTCTTTTTAGGCAGAGCTGGAATCCCTGATTCAAAAATACCTGAAGCCCCCACCCCTGAAATATTTATTTTGCCGAACTTCCTGAAATTCAGTGAATTGGAGATTCCCTGGAGTAAGCAAACAGCTTCCCTTTAAAACGGCTCGGGTGAGGTGAAGCAAACGAACAACCCTCACAGATTAGTGTGATTGAATTCAGCCAGGCCTGGCCTGTCACCCTCTAAGGGAACTGCAGTTGAGGATATGGGTGTTTCATGGGGGACGGAAAGGAGTTTGCCAAACCGAGGGTAGAAGAGGCGGGGATTGGTTGGGAGTTTAACAACACAAAGTAAGGGCCAACTGTGGGGGCAGGAGGTCTGGTAATTGGGCCCCAGTGACCACGAGGGAGCTGTGGGAAAGGAGGAGCTGCAGCCCTTGCCCATTTCATTGTTAGCAGTGCTGGCTTCACGCCCAGAAAGTGGGGTGGCAGCACTTCCTCTCATTCCCTGGATAACAGGGGGACGGGCTCTCAGCGCTGTGGTCTGGCTCAGTCATGAGCAAAATAGCTCTGGAGGTCTTAGCTGGAGATTAGCTCCTTTTTGTGGAGAAAAGGCCACTTGCAATCAATCGACCATTCGCAAATGAATTTGCAGAAGTCAGTCTTCACCCCAGGTAGTGCCCAACTTAAATTACTGTGCCAAATGTTTTCCAGACTGTTCCCTGAAGTCCCAAGGGAAGGCCAGAGAACTTTCTGGGTTTTCCACCTTCTTTGGTGAAGCTTCCACAGATTCATTTTTATTTTTATTTGGACTTTTCTCCTGAAATAGATGACTGCAAAAAAAAGTTTGTATATGTCTTCACTGTCAAGATATATAAATGATAGTTTAATAGTAATTTCTTAGAAACTAACAGAAACTGCTTACCTTAGTAGTAACCCAGGTTGAGTGGTGGACAGCTGCTAATATATGAAGATGCAGAATGACACTCTCTGACATGATACTTTAAAATAGTGATTTCCAAAAATACTACCAGCCCAAATTCAACACACACCCCTTTTTGTAATAAATATTCCATAACATCACTACAATCATTAAATAAAAATCAAGGATGATAAAGCCAACCTTCACATGTAAAAGTGTCACTATTCCAAAATGCAATCAGTAGGCAATATAACTGTCCTCAATATCACACCCATCAATTTAACACCCTAGCTGAAATGTGTAAGTAAATATCAATATTTTATAAGTGATTATTTTAATGTGTAAGTGCCCGAGCATGATTATATTACAAGATGTTGTGAAATAATGAAACAAGGCACGTGCTTGTATCTCTCTATAAAATCACCAGGATTGTGACAAGTACAAGTGCAAACCTTCTACGTTGGCAACTCAGTAACAGGAGCAGATTGATGCCAGCAATAGGATTTTCTAAAATGTGGCCAATTCTTAATAAAGCTCTAGACAAAACAGAAGTCTACAACAGCAAGACACACAGAGTGCTTCCTGGGTGCCTGTTCTAAACCCTTACAGCTTTGTCAAGTGGGCGCCACTGGTATTCCCATCGTACATGCCTGGGGTTATCCAAGGGCATGCAGCTGATATGAGCTAAGCTGGGGTTAAAGTGGAAGCAATCTAGTTCTGGTCCTTGCTCATATCTGCCTTGCTTCCCAAACTTCCCTCAGTGTGTAGAATATTATGGTCGCTTTCCTGGAAAATCCAACACATGTTAAAACTGGGTGAAGGATTCCCTCAGTGTGTATAGACAGAATAAGATTATAGCCTCAAGTGATTAAAAAATGGGTTCCCATCCATGTGACTGTTTGGTGGACCAGATGAAACTGTGCTGATGGGGACAGTTCTTTGTCATGAGGGGTCTAACCCACAGGGCTTGTGCAGCACCCACATTCCAGTGGTGATGTAGCTTGTGGTCCCATCGTTAGCACCTCAAGAGCCCTCATGTTTCCCAAACTGTCTCTAGGGAAGCCCTATCACCCATTGAGAACAAGTAATTTAAAACATCCTGTACCATCAAGTCGTATTTTCATTTTCATGTTATGTGTTTGTCATTTTTCTATCTTTGCTTCTCCTTAGTTCTCTTCTCACGGAAAGTTTTTAGAGTCAGTTCTATGGGGGTTGTTTTTGTTCTTGTGTTTGCCACCCCGCCTCCCCACTCCAAGCAAGCAGTGGCTGTGGCCTCCTCTGGCCCAAAAGACCATGTATGTTCCCCAGTGTCAACTTGTTCATGCACAGAGAAAACTAGGAAGTATTTACATCTTTTATTTCCTAAAGAGCTTGAGTAAGTACATCTCTTTATTGAACGCGTGAACAGTGCCAGCAAAGAATAACACTGAAGTTGCTGTTTAGCCACTATGGCATCAATGGGATGGCCCTGCAAACCTGATGTGGCTGTTCCCAGCTAGTGTATCTGTGATCGGTCTGAACCGACGGGTCATTCACGTTTTGCTCCCACCTTCATGGCTAGTCACTGCATCATTTCCTTTGGAATGAGACGGACCACTGCGTGCTACTTCCTTGCAGATCATATGGAACATGGGTTTTTGGTATAGCTGCTTTTTGGCTTGGCCAATGAATTTGATTTTACTCATTTTAGGAGTTATTCGGCTTATGTAATTTTTTATAGGTTTATGCCAATCACCTGGAAATTGAGTATTTAAAACTCTGTTGATTAAAAATTGGCTTAAGGAATACTCAAAAGCTGAGGTTTCTTCAACTATGTGGAAGGCTTCGCATGGTGAATCAAGCCTAGTAGGACCATAGTGTGTGTTGGTGATGCCTAAGGGGACTTACACACAGACTGTAGGATATGGGATTAGAAAAAAATATTCATCGTATTGTAAAATTCACCTTACAATTTTCTGGAAATTTCTCAGCTGCCAGGTTTTGTCTTCAGGGTTTTATTTATTTTTGGCCAGAATTATTGCTGGAAGTGTAATGGTTTAACAATTTTTAACAAAAGCAAGGTTCAGCATAAGTAAAGAAAAAAAGAGATGATGTGAAATTCAGATTAGCCACAGGGCCCTGTTTTTCTCTGATTTTAGGGATGTGAGGTCTGCCTCACACCACGTGGGTGTTTGTATGTATTGTGTAGAGAAGAGAGGTTTTTCTTACTACAAAATTCCTTCTGCAACAATGGCCTATGGCTTACCAATTTGGAAGGAGGAGAGATAAGATTTTGTCTATGATCAAAATAATGTTGCTCAGCCAGGAGGATGTCCTACCATCTTTCAGAACCTTTGAGGCACCTACTCTGTTCTCCTCACCTAGAACCGCACCTGGAGCCAGGTTACTAAGAACTAGACCTGGCTGCAACCTGATCATCCCGAGGCATGTTCTGAAATTTTACGGCAGTGTGTAAGAACCTCATCTTCTGAGTTGATCAGCTTTTTCTATGTGCTGCCAATTTGCAACGGGTGGCAGGGATTAAAATCTGTGAGTGTACAACTGAAGGAGGTAAGCTTTAACCCTACATTCCCTTCCAGGGCCCTCTGGCCACTCTGGAGTCATTGCCCCAAGGGAGAGAGACAGTTCACAACCCCAGGGCTCAGGTCAGGCTCGCAGCTGAACAGCACACCCACTGCCTGTTACTGAACTTCTCGGTTCTCTCAAAAGTTGTGAAGCTGACACTGTGGGGGCAAATGAAGCTATGAACCTCAGAAGGGATACAGCCTTCCCGAAATCCTGGTAGCTCAGGTTATAAATATTCTCATCATTTTCTCTTCCCTGACCTGGAGCAAATGTTTCTGAAGAAACGATCAAAAGGAGAGAAAGTGTTGGGGACAAAATTATTTCCCCTTGCTTTTCTGCTGACCAGACCCATTAAAAGGAACTTATAATGTCACTTTATTTTTAGGGTGACAAAGACTGGATTTTACAATCTCCATCATTTTGACAGATCATGGTCTGAACATTTTGATTTATCTTAAACATGAAAGAGTGTTAAAAATGAAGTTTAATGTAAGGTAATATTGTCTTTGAAGTGAGAAGCTGTCATTTTGTTTTGTTTTAAAGATTTTATTTATTTTTAGAGAGGGGAAGGGAGGGAGAAAGAGGGAGAGAAACATCAATATGTGGTTGCCTCTCACTTCCTCCTAACCAAGGACCTGGCCTACAACTCAGGCATATGCCTTGACCGGGAATCAAACCAGCAACCTTTTGGATCACAGGTAGCCTGTCAGTCCACTGAGCTACACTAGCCAGGGCAAGAAGCTGTCCTTTAATTTTTGTGCGGGTCAGGTTCTATTTTCATATATATAATTTATATCTATATTTATGTATATGTAAATAAAATAAGACGTATATGTCATTTCAGTTGAGGCTGTGTCAGGATCTGAGTGGGTAGATTTCAGGAATCAGTACTAATTTGGAAGTCTTTGACTTTTGGCAATTGGCTTTGAGTAGTCTGAAGCATTGGGGGCTTGGCCTTTGAAGTCAGATAATCCAGCTGTTCCAGTTTACCACTTACAAGCTCTGTGACATGAAGCTGTTTACTTATCTCTCTGCTACCCAGCTATGTATGAAATGGGGATAATAATAGAATCTACTTGATAGGCTTATAGGATTAAAGGCATTAACGTTTGTAAAGCCCTTACTGCAGCCTACCTCACAGCGAGTAATAGATGTTGACTCTGGCTGGAATACGCTACCTGTAGTTTGTGCCTCTCAAACTCTAGGCATTCAGAACTAGTCAGTAGGGAACGGCTCATTCTCTTGTCCCTAACCAGCAAAACAATGCCTTTGTCATGCAGCCAGAAAGCTGTTGCTACCCAGTCTGGGGCCTGGCAATGTGGTTTTTAGTGGTACCAATCTGAGTGACTCAGAACTTTGGGTGGAGCCAGAACTCAAGAAACCGTAAAAGTCTATGATTGGACTCACTCAGAATAATAGAGTATTATTTTAACATTGGCTTGATTTATCATGTGTGTGTTTCTGCTCTTTAATCCCCTCAGCAATGTTCAACAAAGTGATGTAAGAAAACAAAGGAAATCAGAACGT